CAATAATATATTAAGTCGCAGTAGTATTAATAATATTAATAAAAAGAAGAAATTAAATAAAAAATAATAAATGTGAATAAATAATAATTATAAAAATAAAGATAATACAAATACAAGCAGCATGCATACAAATATATTATCATACAGCAGCAGTATAAAACAGAAAACCAAAGAAAAAGAAAAAGAAAAAGAAATGTATAAAGTGATGATATTAACATATACTAAGAAAGAAGAACACAAATAAATAAACAAAAAGAGTAAAGAGGGTGTATATGGGGTATATACACCGATAGAAAGCGAAGAATAAAGAGAGAATCAACGAAAAACAAAAAAAAAAAGAAGAAAAAGGTTTAAATAACTTACTTTCTGACAGCTTTCTATACTTGTTTGTAATCCTTCTATTTCTCTTTGTAAAATTTTATTGAAATTTTGGCTTTGTTCGTGGCACTGACTCATACACTCGGCTATTTTTTCTGGGTTTTTTTTGTGAGTATCAAAACAAGAAACACAGCATTGAAATGCCTTTTTCTGCATCGGTAATGAATTTATTGTAATTTCTTTTATCATTTCTTCAAATTTATTCTGAAATGATTTCGCGGTTTCCTCCAAAGAATTCGGCATTTTCACGGCGAAAAAAACAGGGAAACTTGAACTGAAAAACAAAAATTTTCAAAAAATTTTCATTCAATTTATATTTCAAACAAAATATTATAAATAAATACAAAAATAATTCAAAAAAATGCAAAAAAAAAAAACATGAATGGCAGCCTCTCGACTCGTTCATGTATGAGATGTACCTGTGTGTGGTGGCCGCATGCAGCATGCATCGTTATGCATCGATTTTATTTGTTTTTCGTTCAAAATTTCTCTAAATTTATGAATTTGAATATTATATTTTCTTCTTTTTCTTTTAAAAACCTCTAGATAGCGGGCTTTCACTCAATGGTCGCCGCAGTCATAGCAGGTGGTGGCCAGGCCCCCCAAGCTCTCATCACCACCAAGAAGAGGAATCCGGCGGAAATTAGCGGAAACATCATAAAAAAGGAAATGAAATAAACAAATTGAGTCGAAATTGTTCATGAATTTTTGAATAAATATGCGGTGAAGAGCTCGACGATCATCGGTTTCTGAAAAACATGAATTCTCGTTTCTGGTTTGCATTCATCGGGTGTCTGCTCACCCTGAATACCTCATCAGTTCTGGCTATATCTACACCTCCAAGCAGCCATCATTCCTTTCTTTCTTTTCAGTTTCGGCCCCCAGCATCACATGCAAATGCCTCTCTTGGCCGTTCAACTCTGCGGCTCCGCAGCGTGCACAGCGGAGCGTGTTCAGGTGTATCGACGCCAGCTGAGGAGAAACCCAGGGAATCTGGGGAATCTGTTGATTTACTTTTCTTGAAACTGAAGAAATGGCTTGCATGCAACGGAGCTGATCTCGATATTGAAGGACTTGCACTCAGGCACCACGACGACTCTGAATATGAAACTTTCGGCGGAGAAGAGAAGAGAACAGAAAGATATCTCACAGCACAGCGTCAGTATCCTCGTGGCTCTGTCATTGCATCTATTCCATCCTCTCTACACTTTACTTCTGAAATCCTTGAGCAGCTCCATACCCGCGTCGTTGGTGAGAGGAGAAACACCCCCAGCAACGAAGAGAATTCAGCATCAAACCAACCGGCTTTCTCGCGAGCAGAGAAGGAGCTGGATGCTTCTGATGGGGGTTTGCTTTCTCTCTGCTTCGGCGAGAGAAAGACAGATGCAACGGTGCGCTTGTCATTCCTTTTGGCTGCATTTCAGGAGTTGTTTGCCGCCAAGGATACAAATATCCTCCGCAGCACATCTCCACTAAATTCTTCTTTTTTTTCTCATTCATCTTCTTTGCTTCAAGGCTGGCTCTTATACATGCAGCTTCTGCCGCCACCAAACCCCTCAATTCCTCTTTTCTGGAATTCTGAAGAACTGCGGGCGCTGAGGCATCCAATCATGCATGCGGTATTCGCTCGTCTGCAGTGTCTGTACACCTCGTTGCGTTCTCACGGCCACTTGTTCCAGGTGGGGGGGCCCCCAGGGGCCCCCAGGGGGGCCCCTGGGGGGGCCCCCCAGTCCCCTTCAGCAGAGAATTCACAGCTATTCAAACGGCTTGTTGCAGCGCATGCAACAGCAAACAGCAAAGCACTCAGACTACCAGCAGACGGCTGTGCTTTCGTTCCCCTCGTCGATATGTGTGTGCATGCAACACACAGCCCCAATGCTAGGCTTAAGTTGAAATCCGAGAGCAGCAGCAGCTGCAGCAGCACAACAAAAACAAAAACAACAACAACAACAGCAGCAGCAGCAGCAGCAGCAGGAGCAGCAGCAGGAGTTGATGGCAAGCACAGCAACGCATGCAGGACCAATGGGGTGTCTGTACAGCTCGTTGCGCTGAGAGATATTAAAAAAGATGAATGCATTTCAATTTCTTTTGGAAGTAAACTCGACAACCCCACCCTCCTCCTTAACTATGGACTGCTACCTAAAGATAACCCGTAAGAGCATGCAGCTAAACCCTAGAGACAAACCCTAACAAAAACAAAACACACACAAACAGAAACAGCAGCAGCAACAGTAGCAGCAGCAGCAGCAGCAGCAGCAGTAGTAGTAGTAGTAGTAGTAGTAGTAGTAGTAGTAGTAGCAGTAGTAGTAGTAGTAGTAGTAGTAGCAGCAGCAGCAGCAGCAGCAGCAGCTAAGGAAGAAAAAGGGCAGCAGAAGCAAAACAACATCCAGGGTGTTGTCTTTGATGTTAGATACAGCTGAGGGATGAGGGGCTAGGGTTTAGGGTTTAGGGTTTAGGGTTTAGGGTTTACGGGTGTGTTTAATATACCACTAAAAAACAAAAGAAGTTCACTCAACTATACATGGAGCTTCCTTTGCCTGATCACACATATATAAATATAAGTAAATAAACAAATAAATATAAATAAATATAAATAAATATAAATAAATAAATATAAATAAATAAATATAAATAAATAAATATAAATA